ACAAAGTTTACATCTGCCCTAGACACAACTAGTAGATACAAAGTTTACATCTGCCCTCAACACAACTAGTAGATACAAAGTTTACATCTGCCCTAGACACAACTAGTAGATACAAAGTTTACATCTGCCCTAGACACAACTAGTAGATACAAAGTTTACATCTGCCTTAATTAAATACAGAACAATAACACTCAAAAAGCAAGTAATGTCCTATAACTATCATAATATTTCTGGCTTTCTAACTATGCAATTACAGCCTTTATAAAAATGTAGCTAAGCTAGTCAATGTAGTTCCCATGAGAACAAATTTAAACTGAAAGAGGAGGTAGACAACGAACTGTACAGAAAATAATGCAATATAATATGTCATTGGATACATTTATTCTTTGACTTTCTATCGGTTATATATAATATAGTCTAAAACATCAGAACATTTATGGACAAAGGACACGATAAGTTGGCCTGGCATGTGGGTTTGATTTTATAGTTTACGACTCCACAGACTAATAAGATTGAAGGTTATAAAAATTAGACTTTGCCTAAGTAATGTCTATATTATAATGAATAGTTTATGTTAAATTCTGTACTTCTCAGAGAGGTGGTAAATAAATTAGAGAATAAAGAAGACCTAGAAAGCAAATGTTACAATTCTCATACCAAAAGAGATTGAGAATTTCTTTAAATATTTCCTTATAAAATTAAGAACTTAAAACATATTTATTAGCTATTTTTGATGCCAAATTTATTTGTATACCGTGATAATAAATTAGTTTAATTAAATTTTAAATGTAACTCTCAAAAAGTTATGATATGTGCACTTTGACCTGTCCATGGTGAGGGGGATATGTAATTTTGTTTTCTTGCTTTTTTGAATCTTCTAATTATGGAGTTATGTTTTTATAAATACCAACTGACAATAAATACTATGTTACTTTATATATACACATATAGGTCACCTCATGGATCCTTGTATTGGACAAAATGGCCTGTTCACCACTAGATAAATATAGATATACATATAAAAAATAAATTAGCTGACCCCTAATATTGGACAAATGGTCTGTTCACCACTGGATACACACACATTACCTGATGAACCCTGGTATCAGACAAATGGCCTGTTCACCACTAGATAAATATAGATATACATATAAAAAATACATTAGCTAACCCCTAATATTGGACAAATGGTCTGTTCACCACTGGATACACACACATTACCTGTAGAACCCTGGTATCAGACAAATGGCCTATTCACCACTAGATAAATATAGATATACATATAAACAATACATTAGCTGACCCCAAGTATTGGACAAATGGTCTGTTCACCACTGGATACACACACATTACCTGTAGAACCCTGGTATCAGACAAATGGCCTATTCACCACTAGATAAATATAGATATACATATAAAAAATACATTAGCTGACCCCCAGTATTGGACAAATGGTCTGTTCACCACTGGATACACACACATTACCTGATGAACCCTGGTATCAGACAAATGGCTTATTCACCACTAGATAGATATAGATATACATATAAAAATACATTAGCTGACCCCTAGTATTGGACAAATGGTCTGTTCACTACTGGATACACATACATTACCTGATGAACCCTGGTATCAGACAAATGGCCTATTCACC